AATCAAGTAACTCAAAACCCCCGCCAAAACAACTGGCTATCCGACCTACTAATTGGACCAAGGCTGGAGATGAGGCTTTATGTTGGGCGTGGATGTCCATTACCTCTAATGCGATTATGGGGCAGACCAAAGTAAGAAGAAGTCATGGAAGTGAATTCTGGAACAATATAAACTACATATTGGTGTTCCAACTAAGCAAAAGGATGAAGGTTTGATGAATCGTTGGTTGGTGATCCAATAAAAAATCAACAAATTTTCCAGCTGCATGACTACCATATAAATGAATCATCCCAGCGGCTTCAACAGTGATGATATGCTAAGTTATTTATTGTTTAAATATAACTCGTAAATATTTTAAATAGTCAGTTTTTAATTTTTTATTAATTTTTTCGTGTAGATGATAGCAGCTAAAAACTTGTTTCGTAGCCAAATAGGTGATGAATTTAAGTTAGAAAGTTGCTGGAAGATCTTGAAGCATAACAATAAATGGAATTCACATTGTGCCGAACAAGTGAGAAAAGGAAAAAAGAAAAAAGAGCCGCAGCATAGGAGTGGATTTGACTTTGACATTAATTAGTCTGTTGGGCACTCATTACCATCTACTCTGTCAAGTCATGCAGCCACGACAGATGAAAATTCAATTGAGGAATCACCACACATAGGGGAAAATGATTCACCCGATGTGGAAGAATATCAACTACAAAGACCAGCAGGAAGAAAAACGGCGAAGCAGTGTCGAGCAAAAATTAATTCAGCGAATGAATTGCAAATTTCATTCGTTTTGAAATTTAATAATATCACCACCAGTTTTGAGAGTCGTCAGGAGAAAATGCAGGATGCCCAAGTGGCATAAGAGGTAAGAAAATGGAGAAAGAGAAGATAAGGCAGCTAGAGATTCTAGAGAAACAGAGACTTGAAGAGAATGAGCTCATGTTAACAGATCCAAATTCGGCACCAATAGAAGCGGGGAAAGTTTGGATTATTGCACGACAAAATGAGATATTGGCATCTTTGAATTCACGGTCCGCCCCAAAGTTCCCATAGGATTTTGTAATTCTTGGTCTATTTATTTTCTTATTCCAATTTAGGATATTGTATTGTTTAAGTTATTTTTAATTGTTTTGTTTAATTTATTTTTTTTAATTCATAATGGATAATGTATTGTTTCAAGTTCTAATATCAATCGTAATTTTTTTAATAATTTGGAAAAATATTATTTGATTGAAAAATATTGCTGTTGCAAATATAGACGCTAAAAATATAACCGTTACGAATATAGTCGTTTAGGAAAAGTTAAAAAAAAAAAAATTTAAATTAAATTAAATTAAATTTATTATTATTATTATTATTATTTTGGCAAGCAAAAATTCGGAAACCCTAATGGATTGCATGTTTTTGGAGAGCGAAAGTTACTGACGTATCTTTTGAAAAAATTGATGTGGCGTTTTTAAAGAGTCAAAATTTAGAAGCAAAAACATATATATTTAATATATATATTTACTTATATAGAGAGAGTGTGTGAGAGAGAAAGGAAGCGATAACTAACTATCATGTGTGAGTCGCTGCCCTCAACACTCACCATAACTATAATATATTGATGGAGTAAATATACACGTATATCTATTTTATAGTGTGTGTGTGTGTGTGAGAGTGTGTGTGTGTAGAGAGAGAGAGAGAGAGAGAGAGGGGGGGGGGTGGTTGGGGTGGGAAAGCTGAGGGTACACACTCTACGGTAAACTTTTGGTGAGTCTCAATGCGGATGAGAAGACACGTGGAAAAATGCAGGGATACTGTGGGAAACTGATGAATTAGGAGGGTGTTTTTGTAAAAGCAGATGCCAAAGATTTGGAGCAAAAAAGAAAAAAAAAAATTTGGACCATTTCTCGATTTGTGCGTGTCATCCTTGCGCAGGGGCCATGCTAATCTTCTCTGTATCGTTCCAATTTTATCGGATGTCCCCGAAGGGACGCTAGTCTATTGTGAACCAACCGTATATTAAATCCAAAGACTTTTAGTTTCTAGTCGGTGTGGGACAAGAAGTTATCTCTTCGAAAAAGGTGCCTTGCACAGCCTAAAAGGCTAAAGCTGTACTCTACATAAATAGCCTGCAAACTTTTGCAATCCAAGTATTATATTCTAATAAAATTCTTCAATTTCATCATATCTTTATACAATTTGGATGTCGGTTGCCCAAAACGAAGTGGAAAAAGTAAAAAAATTAAAAAAATTTGCTCACAGTTGCATGAGCTCTTCTCTAAACTTAGGTACAAATATAATTTTTCTTAAAATATAAATACATTATATGTTCTATCAATTTTAATTTGTATGACATTCTTAAAAGTATGTTTAATTAAAATTTAAATTATAGGTAATGCAGTGAAAAAAGGAAAAAAAAAAAAAAAAAAAAAAATGTTTCCATCCATTTAGCAAGTAAAAAATAATTTGAGAGTTTTTATTAACAATCCAAAATTGTACGCAAACACTTCACTTTTATTTATTCATAAATTAATTGACAAAAATTATCCTCACTCCTCCTTTTTCTCTCCTCCTTGATTTCTATGACTTTCCCAAAAAAATATATATCCTTTTCGTCTCTTTTTTTTTTTTTTTTATCTTTACAGTAAGAGTGCACCAAAGAACCGAAATCGTGGAACCGGAACCGTGAGAACCGGAACCGTTTCAGGTTCCAAATTTAGGAATCGTGTACATACGGTCCCGGTTCCGATTCCAGCCCGTGGGAACCGGTAAGAACCGGAACCGTATATATATATATGTGTGTATATATGTATATATATATAATATATATTATATATTTAATTTTATACTAAAAAAAGAAGTAAAGATAAGGCTGGAGGTCAAATTTCTGAGCAAGGTGTCTCCTTAAGTGATGACCTCCCCTCCCATGGACCGAATAATAATGAAGTCATAGAAAATTAACATTTGATCTAGTCGAACCTCCAAAATCAAAATAAATATGCTATATCTTAGCCTTTCAGAGTCTTAAATACGTAGTTTATGTTCCATTTGTAATCTAATTTATGTTCCAATTGTAATCACCATTCAGGAATACATTAATAATAGCTTCTTTATCTCTAAAAATAAGAATATGTTTTTTTTTATATTTTTTATCGTAGATGATAGAACCACATCACATTTAAAAATCATCTAAACTTTCGGCAGAAAAGGCAACAAAAAGCATAAAACAAACACAAAAGGCCAAAGGTAGAGCCTTGTCTTGAAAGAAAGTGGATATGCATCTCTCATTAGTCTCATATTCGCCATGCCCTTAAGTAAGGAATGGTGAAACTAGGTATATGTGCTTGCACAGAAATAGTTTTCAACCAAAAAATCTGGTTAAGTCACACCTTTTTCCCCACCCTTTAAGTGGGCAATCAAGCCGTGCTGTGCATAGGGGAAATGCTGGAATGATGATATCATGGTGAACATACATATTTGAATCATCATCAGCATCCTCATAAATCCAAACCTGCTTGTAAACATTGAGCTTACCCTGAGTGGCTGGCTAATATCAGTGTTTAATTTTATGAAACACTACTGAGTTACAAGTTACAACTTACAACATTTCAGTGTTAAATTCGGGGAACATTTCAGTATTATAACTTATAATACTGCAAAAAGGAAAAAAAATCAAACAGTTAACGGTTCTCATAAAACCGAATCGGTTCTACGGTTCCGGTTCCGTTTTCAAGGAACCGTCGTGAATGGTTCCGACCGGAACCATGAGAACCAGAACCGTGTGCACTCCTACTTTGTAGGTCTTTCATTTTTTACTCCAACTAAAACATGAGACCTACCATCAAATTACTCTCGTTTTCATTTCTTCTCTTTCTCTTTTGTATGCTTGTTGTTTTTACTCCAATTGAATAGCGAACGCCTACCATTTACAAATATCTATTTACCAAGTATTAATTATTTTTGTACACCATTTACAAATATCTATTTTCCAAGTATTAATTATTTTTTGTACAATGGTGAATGAGTAATGTATAATTCCGACAAACTTATGTCACTTAGCCTTTTTAAGTCAATTTTTGGGATTACATGGAAATAAATAAATAAAAATTTAAGAACATTAATAAGTATCTATTTTTATCAAAAGACGAAGCTATCAAAGTTCGGAAAAATTATCCCTACTCTGTGCAATTAGGAAAAAAAAATTTTCTAAAGTTGAAAAGCTATGGAAAAAAGAAAATAACTTTTAAATAAACCATAAACACTACACAATTTATTATTATAACTTTTGAGATTTCTATTAGTCCATATTTGTCTTATTGTCCCCATTTTCGTGTTAACATTGTCAAAGTTATTTGGTTTCCATTCTTTCTTTGGTATGGGTTCTTTTTCAACTTCTTACTGTATTGCTCTTATTAATCTCTCTTTTTTATTATTATTTTAAGTTGATATGTTGACAATAATTTGTGTTTTAATATATTGAAGGCAATCTAAATGCTAATAGGAGGGGAAAGATGGTAGGAAGAGAGGAGAAACAGCAAAATAGATGAAGGGTCGTACCAAAGAGGAGAGAGAAAAAAGGTTATGTATGAAACAATTTGGAGGTTATTTTTGTCATTTAATTTATAAAGATATAGAAGTGGACCGCGGTAGTATAATCTTGGAACGAGATTTTCTGCTCCCAAAAATTTTAGTATTTAATTTAAAATTCTTCTTCTTACAGCATAGCATAGCATTTGGTGTGAAACACTGCTATACTTTTTTTTAAAGTGTGAGTTACGCCAGCAGCTACGGCTGACGTGGCTCTACACCTGTTTTTGAAGACTCCTTTTTGTTTGTCTGCACTCCTTTCTTGTTTTTAACTTTATTATTTTATTATTTTTTAAACTTTATTTATCAAATGATTTTTTTTTTTCAATTGTTTGTTTTTATTTTTCAGAACAGAAAACTTAATTAAATTCTTATACAAATTAAATGACTTTTTTAATTAATTAAATTGTGATTTTTTTTTTAATTAATTGATAAAACATATACAATAAAACTGAAACAAATACATACACTATTTATTTCACACCCCCCACCCACACCATCACTTTTTCTTTTAAAAACATAAATGGACACAAAGACCCTTTAAGCAATTGTCGCTACTATTTCATTCGCCACAGCAAAAGCCATTATCCAAAGTAGGCTTGGCTGTGGATGCTCCAAGCATAGTATCTAAACGAATTACATACATACTTGAGTTACAATATAACTGTTATATGATCAGAAAAAGAGGCGGAGTGTGGTAGACAAATGCAGAAACTAGCGTTTGGACTTTGGACCCTCTTTTGTATAGACCAAATCTTGTAAAGACTTGTTCCACTCCTCAGCAAGCAGCTTCAAAGGTCTCCCCAGCCACAAGCTCTGGGACCTCATTATCATCATCCTCTTGTGCTGTTGCCGTGGCCGAACCTGCTCCGGAACCAGGTGCCTCTTTTTGGAACAGCTCTGCCAGCTTAATCCCTCAAGTTGCCCAAGTTATCAGGTCTTAAAAAGATGAAACAAAAGGTCATATTTAACCAATCTTTTCATTTCTCTTATGAGTTCCAGTGAAGGGAAATAAACAGGAACAAAAAATAGCTGTAAAGACACAGGTACATACCCATTTGATTAATAATTTCAGGAAGAATATCTTGCAATTCTGGAACAGAAGAAAATTCAAGGTAATATTAAATCTCTAGTCAAAATAATCTAAAACTAGCAGATGACAAAACATACATATTGAAATAACAGTTGAGATACAATATTAGTTAAATGACCCAAAACCTACATTCACAATTTTATCATTTCAATTCTGCTGTAAATATAATGAATTAAATGACCCAAAAGCTACTTTCACAATTTTATCATTTGAATTCTGCTGTAAATATAATAAATTAAATGACCCAAAGCTACTTTCACAATTTTATCATTTGAATTTTGCTGTAGATATAATGAATTAAATGACCCAAAAGCTACTTTCACAATTTTGTCATTTGAATTTTGCTGCAAATAACAGATGTGTAGCAGACACAATGTAAGTAAACGATCAATAAATTATAAAGCAGGGGAGAAAGCATACTCTTGGTCTGAGGAGAACCACTAACCACCCAAGTGTTGGCAGCAATAGAGGCTTGAATTGATACATGAAAGAAAATAAGTTATCAGTTGTGTAAGAGGAGCAGAAGGATTCACTGAAAATACAAGGTTTACTGCCATAACTGGTGTTACCTTTAGGATTAATAAACTAGATTAGACATCATCATCTTTGAATATGTTGACTTCCTCAATTGCAGGAATGGCATTCCCCCCTATTCTCTTCAGGGTGCTTTGAAGTCTCTTGTCATCTGTGGTGGTTGTCTTGTGAACAGCTTTCTTCTTTCTGCAGTTACGAGCAGTACGCTTAAAGAAATTGAGCACAAGAAGGAAAAGAAGCTAAATTTAAGGAGGTGAGATGCCAAACGTTTAAGTTAAATCCACAGGAGAGGTATGCTTTAATCAATACAACTTGATGCATACCAATTAGCAGGACATACAAATTCTCAAAATTTAATTCTCATCTGGTTTGCGCAACAACAGTGCTACTTCACCAATACAAGATTTTAGGTTTCCTCCAAGAGACACAAGTGTTCCGCGCCCCATCCAAGCCTCCTACCAGCCCAATAGTCCCTTTCTTTACAAAATAAGCCATGACACCAAGTAACTAGTGCAATCTTGCTAAATATTCTATATATGAGGTCAGATTTTGAACTAACAATAAAAACAAGCAAGATGATGATGTCTAATCAAATTCAACAATAGGCGGGAAAAAGGTGATGATGAGATGATAATCTATAACCAAATTGTTCAAGAGTTAGAACTATCTTAATTTTTAACTATCTTGTGATGCCACGCCAACTGGATATTTACAGATACAACTTTTTTTTAGCTAATACAACTTTGAAGTTAGTTTGATTAGAATGTACTCAAAATTATTATTGGCTTAAGAGAAGTTTAATTCATTGCCGAGTAAATCCAGCAAATTTGATCAGAATTAAGCAGCAAGACAACACACACCTTCGGGTATCATAGATTATAAAGTGAATGGTGAACTAGTATCATAGATTAAAAAAACTGCCAAAAAAACACACATTGTCCATATCATACGACGTTAGCAAATTATTGCACAAATACTATATGCAATGGCTGAAATTATGATCTTAAAATATGACAATCATAAACCACAGAATTTGTTCGCAAATAATGGTTAGATCAACAATTGAGTTTGAATAACCATAGAAAAATTGCAAGATCTCATGGCAATAGTGCCAGATTGCAAAACAACAGTCACTATTCACTAAAACTTAATACTAAGAATAAATCACCATAATATTATCTCAATTGAAAGTCCAGTAGGCCTCCAACACCAATGCACTAGTAATAAGGTTTACAATGTTCACCTTCATGCTAAAATTTTCAATGAACACTAAATGATCACAAATGGCATCTCTAACTCAATTGTTACCATTGATTTATCTGCAACGGGTAAGTATGATCATTTGAATTTAGTTTCCAACTTACTTTTGAACTGAAATATATACAGAATGGATGGATTTTCCCGCAAAGCAAATTTTGCAAAGGCCTGATGATAGAGGCCACAAGAGTATTGCGATATTAGTGACTACCCTCAACTAAAACTTGTGTTTTCACGCTTGGCATTGATCAATTTGGGATGGTTGGGTTCTGTGTCAACCCAAAACAGGATGGAAAAAAATATGCTCCATAAAATCTTACTCGAAAATAAAACAAAGCAGAAACTAGCTCTACCATGATTAATTTTGGGTTCGTTCAGTCTGGTACAGTTATTTGGTTTAAAATAAAAACAATAAAAAGAAAAGAAAGTTTCTATAGAATTTGAGATGCCATGATTTACGAACAAAGAATGAAGCAGGATAAAGGAGAAAAAGACGATTGCAATGGCAACTTCTGTTTTACTAATATAATTAGGCATCCTAATTATAGAAATTAAGCAAACACTGTTATTGTTGGCATTTAAATTTGTGATGAATTGAAGAAACCAATTAAAGGACAAAGATACAAGCACGTCAGTACGTGAATATCATACACCGAAACGCACAAAAAAAAAGGGGAAGCAAAGAAACTCATGAATTCCCTAAAAAAAAAAAGGTTTAGAACAAAGCAATTAGTGATGTTACTACTCCAAGAGAAGCCAAAACATTTATTGAAGCAAAAAACTGCTAACGAACCCTAACCTCAAAATGCTAACGATAACAACAGCATAAAAAGAATCCAAATCAAGCACAAATATCCACGCACATACATAGACCCACGGAGAGAAGCTGATAGAGAGTGAAAAGGGAAGAGATGACTAACCTTGCCCCTTGGTTTCGAGGGTTAGAATTGTTGCCCTCAACAGCACCATAACAATTATTTTATAGAGTAAATATATACACATATATCTATTATATGTCCAGAGAGAGAGAGAGAGAGAGAGAGAGAGGAGTAGACAAATTGTTGGGGGGAACGCAGAGATGAAAGAGAGAGTTGGGAGTTGCAGAGGGAGCTCCACGGTAAAGCTTCTGGTCAGTCTCAAGATGGATGAGAAGACACGTGGAAAAAATCAGGGGTACTGTGGGAAACTGACGAATTAGGAGGGTGTTTTTGTAAAAGCAGATGCCAAAGATTGTGGCAAAAAGGGAAGAAAAAAAAATTTGGACCATTTCTCAATTTTTGAGTGTCATCCTTGCGCAGGGGCCATGCTAATCTTCTCTGTATCGTTCCACCGAAGGGACACTAGCCTGTTGTAAACCAAACCTATATTAAGTCCAAAGACTTCCAGTTTCTAGCCGATGTGGGACAATAAGTTATCTCTTCAAAAAAAGTGCCTTGCATAGCCTAAAAGCCTACAACTGTACTCTACATAAATAGTCTGCAAACTTTTGCAATCTAACCATTATATTCCTATAAAATTGTTCAATTTCACCATATCTTTATACAATTTGGATGTCAGGTGCCCAAAACGAAATGGAGAAAGGAAAAAAAAAAAAAAAATTGCTCACAATTCCATGAGCTCTTCTCTAAACTTAGGTACAAATATAATTTTTCTTAAAATATAAATACATTATATGTTCTATCAATTTTAATTTGTACGACGTTCTTACAAGTATGTTTAATTAAAATTTAAATTATAGGTAATGCAGTGAAAAAAAAAATTGTTTCCATCCATTTAACAAATAAAAAATAAATTGGAAGCTTTTATTGGAGCTCCAAAATTACACGCACACATTTCACTTTTATTTATTCATAAATTAAATAACAAAAATAATCCCACTCTCCCAAAAAATATATATATAGTTTCCATCTCCCTCTCTGTTTTTCTATCTTTGTAGGCCTTCAGTTTTTTACTCCAACTAAATCATGAGACCTATCATCATATTACTTTAAGAAAAAGTGATATCAGTGTTTAATTTTATGAAACACTACTGAGTTACAAGTTACAACTTACAACATTTCAGTGTTAAATTCGGGGAACATTTCAGTATTACAACTTATAATACTGCAAAAAAGAAAAAAAAATCAAGCAGTTAACGGTTCTCATAAAACCGAATCGGTTCTACGGTTCCGGTTCCGTTTTCAAGGAACCGTCGTGAATGGTTCCGACCGGAACCATGAGAACCAGAACCGTGTGCACTCCTACTTTGTAGGTCTTTCATTTTTTACTCCAACTAAAACATGAGACCTACCATCAAATTACTCTCGTTTTCATTTCTTCTCTTTCTCTTTTGTATGCTTGTTGTTTTTACTCCAATTGAATAGCGAACGCCTACCATTTACCAATATCTATTTACCAAGTATTAATTATTTTTGTACACCATTTACAAATATCTATTTTCCAAGTATTAATTATTTTTTGTACAATGGTGAATGAGTAATGTATAATTCCGACAAACTTATGTCACTTAGCCTTTTTAAGTCAATTTTTGGGATTACATGGAAATAAATAAATAAAAATTTAAGAACATTAATAAGTATCTATTTCTATCAAGAGACGAAGCTATCAAAGTTCGGAAAAATTATACCTACTCTGTGCAATTAGGAAAAAAAAAATTTCTAAAGTTGAAAAGCTATGGAAAAAAGAAAATAACTTTTAAATAAACCATAAACACTACACAATTTATTATTATAACTTTTGAGATTTCTATTAGTCCATATTTGTCTTATTGTCCCCATTTTCGTGTTAACATTGTCAAAGTTATTTGGTTTCCATTCTTTCTTTGGTATGGGTTCTTTTTCAACTTCTTACTGTATTGCTCTTATTAATCTCTCTTTTTTATTATTATTTTAAGTTGATATGTTGACAATAATTTGTGTTTTAATATATTGAAGGCAATCTAAATGCTAATAGGAGGGGAAAGATGGTAGGAAGAGAGGAGAAACAGCAAAATAGATGAAGGGTCGTACCAAAGAGGAGAGAGAAAAAAGGTTATGTATGAAACAATTTGGAAGTTATTTTTGTCATTTAATTTATAAAGATATAGAAGTGGACCGCGGTAGTATAATCTTGGAACGAGATTTTCTGCTCCCAAAAATTTTAGTATTTAATTTAAAATTCTTCTTCTTACAGCATAGCATAGCATTTGGTGTGAAACACTGCTATACTTTTTTTTAAAGTGTGAGTTACGCCAGCAGCTACGGCTGACGTGGCTCTACACCTGTTTTTGAAGACTCCTATTTGTTTGTCTGCACTCCTTTCTTGTTTTTAACTTTATTATTTTATTATTTTTTAAACTTTATTTATCAAATGATTTTGTTTTTTCAATTGTTTGTTTTTATTTTTCAGAACAGAAAACTTAATTAAATTCTTATACAAATTAAATGACTTTTTTAATTAATTAAATTGTGATTTTTTTTTTAATTAATTGATAAAACATATACAATAAAACTGAAACAAATACATACACTATTTATTTCACACCCCCCACCCACACCATCACTTTTTCTTTTAAAAACATAAATGGACACAAAGACCCTTTAAGCAATTGTCGCTACTATTTCATTCGCCACAGCAAAAGCCATTATCCAAAGTAGGCTTGGCTGTGGATGCTCCAAGCATAGTATCTAAACGAATTACATACATACTTGAGTTACAATATAACTGTTATATGATCAGAAAAAGAGGCGGAGTGTGGTAGACAAATGCAGAAACTAGCGTTTGGACTTTGGACCCTCTTTTGTATAGACCAAATCTTGTAAAGACTTGTTCCACTCCTCAGCAAGCAGCTTCAAAGGTCTCCCCAGCCACAAGCTCTGGGACCTCATTATCATCATCCTCTTGTGCTGTTGCCGTGGCCGAACCTGCTCCGGAACCAGGTGCCTCTTTTTGGAACAGCTCTGCCAGCTTAATCCCTCAAGTTGCCCAAGTTATCAGGTCTTAAAAAGATGAAACAAAAGGTCATATTTAACCAATCTTTTCATTTCTCTTATGAGTTCCAGTGAAGGGAAATAAACAGGAACAAAAAATAGCTGTAAAGACACAGGTACATACCCATTTGATTAATAATTTCAGGAAGAATATCTTGCAATTCTGGAACAGAAGAAAATTCAAGGTAATATTAAATCTCTAGTCAAAATAATCTAAAACTAGCAGATGACAAAACATACATATTGAAATAACAGTTGAGATACAATATTAGTTAAATGACCCAAAACCTACATTCACAATTTTATCATTTCAATTCTGCTGTAAATATAATGAATTAAATGACCCAAAAGCTACTTTCACAATTTTATCATTTGAATTCTGCTGTAAATATAATAAATTAAATGACCCAAAGCTACTTTCACAATTTTATCATTTGAATTTTGCTGTAGATATAATGAATTAAATGACCCAAAAGCTACTTTCACAATTTTGTCATTTGAATTTTGCTGCAAATAACAGATGTGTAGCAGACACAATGTAAGTAAACGATCAATAAATTATAAAGCAGGGGAGAAAGCATACTCTTGGTCTGAGGAGAACCACTAACCACCCAAGTGTTGGCAGCAATAGAGGCTTGAATTGATACATGAAAGAAAATAAGTTATCAGTTGTGTAAGAGGAGCAGAAGGATTCACTGAAAATACAAGGTTTACTGCCATAACTGGTGTTACCTTTAGGATTAATAAACTAGATTAGACATCATCATCTTTGAATATGTTGACTTCCTCAATTGCAGGAATGGCATTCCCCCCTATTCTCTTCAGGGTGCTTTGAAGTCTCTTGTCATCTGTGGTGGTTGTCTTGTGAACAGCTTTCTTCTTTCTGCAGTTACGAGCAGTACGCTTAAAGAAATTGAGCACAAGAAGGAAAAGAAGCTAAATTTAAGGAGGTGAGATGCCAAACGTTTAAGTTAAATCCACAGGAGAGGTATGCTTTAATCAATACAACTTGATGCATACCAATTAGCAGGACATACAAATTCTCAAAATTTAATTCTCATCTGGTTTGCGCAACAACAGTGCTACTTCACCAATACAAGATTTTAGGTTTCCTCCAAGAGACACAAGTGTTCCGCGCCCCATCCAAGCCTCCTACCAGCCCAATAGTCCCTTTCTTTACAAAATAAGCCATGACACCAAGTAACTAGTGCAATCTTGCTAAATATTCTATATATGAGGTCAGATTTTGAACTAACAATAAAAACAAGCAAGATGGTGATGTCTAATCAAATTCAACAATAGGCGGGAAAAAGGTGATGATGAGATGATAATCTATAACCAAATTGTTCAAGAGTTAGAACTATCTTAATTTTTAACTATCTTGTGATGCCACGCCAACTGGATATTTACAGATACAACTTTTTTTTAGCTAATACAACTTTGAAGTTAGTTTGATTAGAATGTACTCAAAATTATTATTGGCTTAAGAGAAGTTTAATTCATTGCCGAGTAAATCCAGCAAATTTGATCAGAATTAAGCAGCAAGACAACACACACCTTCGGGTATCATAGATTATAAAGTGAATGGTGAACTAGTATCATAGATTAAAAAAACTGCCAAAAAAACACACATTGTCCATATCATACGACATTAGCAAATTATTGCACAAATACTATATGCAATGGCTGAAATTATGATCTTAAAATATGACAATCATAAACCACAGAATTTGTTCGCAAATAATGGTTAGATCAACAATTGAGTTTCAATAGTGCCAGATTGCAAAACAACAGCCACCATTCACTAAAACTTAATACTAAGAATAAATCACCATAATATTATCTCAATTTGAAAGTCCAGTAGGCCTCCAACACCAATGCACTAGTAATAAGGTTTACAATGTTCACCTTCATGCTAAAATTTTCAATGAACACTAAATGATCACAAATGGCATCTCTAACTCAATTGTTACCATTGATTTATCTGCAACGGGTAAGTATGATCATTTGAATTTAGTTTCCAACTTACTTTTGAACTGAAATATATACAGAATGGATGGATTTTCCCGCAAAGCAAATTTTGCAAAGGCCTGATGATAGAGGCCACAAGAGTATTGCGATATTAGTGACTACCCTCAACTAAAACTTGTGTTTTCACGCTTGGCATTGATCAATTTGGGATGGTTGGGTTCTGTGTCAACCCAAAACAGGATGGAAAAAAATATGCTCCATAAAATCTTACTCGAAAATAAAACAAAGCAGAAACTAGCTCTACCATGATTAATTTTGGGTTCGTTCAGTCTGGTACAGTTATTTGGTTTAAAATAAAAACAATAAAAAGAAAAGAAAGTTTCTATAGAATTTGAGATGCCATGATTTACGAACAAAGAATGAAGCAGGATAAAGGAGAAAAAGACGATTGCAATGGCAACTTCTGTTTTACTAATATAATTAGGCATCCTAATTATAGAAATTAAGCAAACACTGTTATTGTTGGCATTTAAATTTGTGATGAATTGAAGAAACCAATTAAAGGACAAAGATACAAGCACGTCAGTACGTGAATATCATACACCGAAACGCACAAAAAAAAAGGGGAAGCAAAGAAACTCATGAATTCCCTAAAAAAAAAAAGGTTTAGAACAAAGCAATTAGTGATGTTACTACTCCAAGAGAAGCCAAAACATTTATTGAAGCAAAAAACTGCTAACGAACCCTAACCTCAAAATGCTAACGCTAACAACAGCATAAAAAGAATCCAAATCAAGCACAAATATCCACGCACATACATAGACCCACGGAGAGAAGCTGATAGAGAGTGAAAAGGGAAGAGATGACTAACCTTGCCCCTTGGTTTCGAGGGTTAGAATTGTTGCCCTCAACAGTCACCATAACAATTATTTTATAGAGTAAATATATACACATATATCTATTATATGTCCAGAGAGAGAGAGAGAGAGAGAGAGAGAGAGTAGACAAATTGTTGGGGGGAACGCAGAGATGAAAGAGAGAGTTGGGAGTTGCAGAGGGAGCTCCACGGTAAAGTTTCTGGTCAGTCTCAAGATGGATGAGAAGACACGTGGAAAAAATCAGGGGTACTGTGGGAAACTGACGAATTAGGAGGGTGTTTTTGTAAAAGCAGATGCCAAAGATTGTGGCAAAAAAGGAAGAAAAAAAAATTTGGACCATTTCTCGATTTGTGCGTGTCATCCTTGCGCAGGGGCCATGCTAATCTTCTCTGTATCGTTCCAATTTTATCGGATGTCCCCGAAGGGACACTAGCCTGTTGTAAACCAAACCTATATTAAGTCCAAAGACTTCCAGTTTCTAGCCGATGTGGGACAATAAGTTATCTCTTCGAAAAAAGTGCCTTGCACAGACTAAAAGCCTACAACTGTACTCTACATAAATAGTCTGCAACCTTTTGCAATCTAACCATTATATTCCTATAAAATTGTTCAATTTCACCATATCTTTATACAATTTGGATGTCAGTTGCCCAAAACGAAATGGAGAAAGGAAAAAAAAAAAAAAAAAATTGCTCACAATTCCATGAGCTCTTCTCTAAACTTAGGTACATATAAAATAATTTTTCTTAAAATATAAATACATTATATGTTCTATCAATTTTAATTTGTACGACGTTCTTACAAGTATGTTTAATTAAAATTTAAATTATAGGTAATGCAGTGAAAAAAAAATTGTTTCCATCCATTTAACAAATAAAAAATAAATTGGAAGCTTTTATTGGAGCTCAAAAATTATACGCACACATTTCACTTTTATTTATTCATAAATTAAATAACAAAAATAATCCCACTCTCCCAAAAAATATATATATAGTTTCCATCTCCCTCTCTGTTTTTCTATCTTTGTAGGCCTTCAATTTTTTACTCCAACTAAATCATGAGACCTATCATCATATTACTTTCGTTTCCATATCTTCTCTTCAAATATCTATTTACCAAATATTAGTTATTTTGTGTACAATGATGAATGACTAATGTCAAACTTCATGTCACTCAAATTTTGGGATTAGATGGAAATAAATAAATATTTATGAATATTAAGTATCTATTCTTATGAGAGACGAATCTATCAAAGTCTATAAATATTTTTTTTTTTAAATTGAAAAGTTATAGAAGAAAGAAAATGACTTTTAAAGAGACCATAAACACTACACAATTTATAATTATAATTTTTGAGGTTTCTGTTAAGCTATATTTGTCTTATTGTCCTCATCTTTTTCTTTGTTACTTGTACATACAAAATTCGTAATTAAATAACAAAATAGGGGCAAATAATAAGTTATTGATTTATAAAAATTCGACTACAACTTTACAAAAAAAATATATATATATATCATTTGATTCGATCTCCTTTGTTGGTTGGATCCAAGGGTTGTTGGAACTTGATCTTGAATCGGGTTGTTAACAATCTTCTTCAAGTATTTGTAGTTGAGGAAGACCGCCAATAATTTTTGATCGAGGGCTGACGAAGTTTGATCTCGAACAGTGTTGTTTGGTGATTCTTTAAACTTGTTCAACCACAGAGAAAAAATGGCATGAGTTTGATATGCTTGTTGTTCTTTGTTGAATTTGACGAAGAATGGCGACTTTGAATATACTTGTTGTTCTTTGTTTTCAGATAATTTGTTGAATTTATTGAAGAACTGCACGACTTTGGATGTGATTGTTATTCTTCTTCTTCAGATAATTTGTGGAAGAACGACTTTGGTTGTGTTTGTTGCTCTTCTTCTTCAGATAATTTGTGAAAGAATGGCACGACTTTGGTTGTGCTTGTTGCTCTTCTTCTTCAAGGATTGAGTGTTCGGTATTCCAGGGTGCAAAACAATGGGGCACCAGGGGGTTGGGAAACGGCGGGGTCAGGGGAGCGTCAGGATGGGGTGTAACCTTAACGTGGGGGAGGTCCCCCTACAATCGCAGGCGGCGTTTAGGGGGTGGCTACAAATAAAAAAGGTCATAAAAAAACAAACTGACGTAAGCCCTCTGGATTTATGAGTCTTTGAATTTCTAAACCCCTTTGAATGTCTGAGTCTCTCAATTTTTGGACTCCTTCTTCCTTCCTACATGCCTATATTTATAGGCTTCTTGGATTAATAGGATAATGAAATTTGCCCTCTCTTGATAAAGACATAATTATAACTGGACCGGGCCGATTATATTATGATAATTATCCATAAAAATAATTATTCCAAATATATTTTATTAGGAATAATTATCTTTTTATTTAATCACTTCGGTTGAACTAATTAAATAATTTAAGTTGACTAAGTTTGGATCAATTAAATACTTTAATTAAACATGGGACCCATATTTGATGGGTTAACTTGCAAAGGAAAAAGCCCATAAAATTTTAGTGTCTACAAGATTCTTTTTCAACTTCTCACTGTATTGCTCTGATTAATCTCTTTTTTCTTTTTTTTCAAGTCGATATGGTGACAATAATTTGTGTTTTAATATATTAAAGATAATCTAAATGCTAATAGAAGAGGAAAGATGGTAGGGAGAGAGGAGAAACAACAAAATAGATGAAGGGTGAGTCGTAACAAAGAGGAGAGAGAAAAAAGCTATGTATGAAACAATTTTGAGGTTATTTTTATCCTTTAATTTATAAAGATATAGAAGTGGAGCATGGTAGTACAATATTGGAACTCGATTATCAGCTCCCAAAATTTTGAGTATTAAATTTGAAGTTCTTCTTAGAGCATGACATAGCATTTGGTGTGCAACACTGCCACACTTTTTTTAAAGTGTAGAGTCATGTCAGCTAAAAAAAGTGTAGACTCTATTCCTTTTTCGAAGTCTACTTTATATCTTGGTATGCTCTCTACTTTTTTGTTCTTAACTTTTTTATTTTATTATTTTTAAAAATTTATTTATCAAAAATAAATTGATTTTTTTTTTCAATTGTTTGTTTTTGTTTTTTAGAATGAAAAAAATAATTAAATTCTTATACAAATTAAATGACTCTTTTTTAATTAATTGATAAAACATATACAATAAAACTTAAACAAATTCGTACACTATTTATTTCACACCCAACCCCCACAATAAAACTTAAACAAATGCATACACGAAAATGGACACAAAGACCCTTTAAGCAATTGTGGCTACCATTTCATTAGCCACAGCAAAAGCCATCATCCAAAGTAGGCTTAATGTTACACCCCGCCTATGGAGGTTGTGCCACGCAAGCGACACGCAGACGCTGAGGAGGACGCTGCATGGCATGGGAGTTTCTAAAGTCTTCCGGAATAGTCTAGAGTTATGTGGAAGATTCTAGATATGTGTAGAAATGTGTAGAAGTGTGTGGAAGGTTCTAGAATTCTCCAGAGTTGTGTGGAGTAGTATGGAGAATTCTAGAATGTTGTAGATACTAGTAGATAAGTATGGAAGTGTGAAGAAGGTGGGAGAAGATTCTAGATAATCAATCTCTACCGTTGGTTAGAATGCATCCTAGCCGTTCATTAGGGATGGGGATGCCTATAAATAGAGGTAGGACTTTATTTTGTAGGGAATAAGTCCTAGAGTGAGTCTTGAGAGCCTTGTAGAGAGTTTGAGTGCTAGCCTTGTACAAAGCATTCTTTGAAGTAATAGAAGTGTTTTTTCCTTGCCAACTTAAGTGCTTTAGTGTGTGTTAGTGTGCAAGCCAAGTGAAGAGAGGGCGAGGGCCACTACAACACTAGTAAGCGCACGAGGGGAGTGTGTTAGCTAAGGTGTACACGAGAGTTAGGCTGACCAAGTACTTGCGAGAGTGGAAGCAACGTCTTGGTGCCGCACGGGAGCAGCTAGAGTGATGCTGAAACTCTAAGCCCGTGACATTAAGCTATGGATGCTCCTAGCAGAATATCTAAACGAATTACATACATACTTATGCTATGTTTGGCGGAAATAGAGTAAAATGTTCATTCTAATCATTCATTTGTTTGATGTGCAGGAATGGAATGACCATTCCAGGAATGAAAATCCACTACAGGGAATAAAATCTATTCAATTACTAAACCTATGGAATGACCATTCCATTCTAGAGTAAAATTAAATATTTTTGTAATATTCCCAATAAACCCTCATTACATTCCAATAAGGCAAAAATCTTTGGCATTCTTTATTAGACGTGGTAAAGGTCTTCTACCTTCCCTCTTTTCTGAATATACCCAGAACTGCCATTGACAAAAAATTACAGGACCTTCAACTAAATTGCAGGTATTAATCTCTTTATCTTCCTAGTATATCACTTCTTCTTTTTTTCTTTTTTTTGTTGAAACATTTGTGTGATTTATTCAACTTTATCTCTTCGAACATTTATATATGGAGCAATGATAACATAAAATAAAAATTAATAATCATATGAGTCAAGAGTGGACTTGTTTGACTTTTTGATGAAAAGCAAGTGGACAATGTTAGGCTAAGGTGTAACCATGGATGAAGATTCCGGTCCCAAGAAACTAAATATCCCATAATTCTTCTAGAATATTAATTAAATTGATTTTATTAAAAAGTAATGTAAGGGGATGAAAATGATTTTTTTTAGAAAAATCATTCAATTCCAAATTTAATGATAGTTAACCAAATTATAAAATGATAGAATAATAATAATCATTTCATTTCATAACGATACACCATGTCATACCAAACAATGAAATATGAATCATTCCGCATTCCATTCTATTAGTGGGCACCAACCATAACCTTATAAAGAGTTACAAAATTTGAAACAATCTTTTATGACTTGCATAAGACAAAAAATTAACTACTAATTCGGATTTGGAACACTAGTTTGGATGAATATATGACCAGAATAGGAGGAGTGTGGTAGATAAATGCAGAAACTAGCGTTTGGACCCTCTTTTGTAAAAGCAGGGGTACAGTGGGAAACTGATGACTTAGGAGGGTGTTTTTGTAAAAGCAGATGCAGAAAAGGGGGCAAAAAGGGAAGAAAAAAATTTGAACCATTTCTCGATTTGTGCTTGTCATCCTGGCCGCAGGGCCTTGCTAACTTCTCTTGTCGGAAGTCCCAGAAGGATGTTGGTTATTTCTTTTAACTCAGATCTTGAATTCAATAATCACTAAAGTATCAATTATCAAGGCTGGTTCTCTCTCTTAAATTAGATCTTGAATTCAATAATAAAAAAAATGGGCCTTAATGTAAAAATTGCCCTTTTTTATTGTCATCATTATATTGAATTCAATGCTCTTGGTTGGTGATGAAAAATAGAGGTAAAGAATGCACCACTCTGTCTGTCCAAAGATAATTAAGTATCTGAAAACACACAA